AATTGTAAAGTTGTATAGATTTATATGTGAGGCAGCGTGGTAGAATCAGGCTCTCGTCCAAATAATCAAAGTGAAGAAACTTGCATTTTTCCGCCGGTTTGTGAATTTTTATCCTTTTTTTTTTTTTTGGCTCAACACCTTTCATGCCCATTAAAGAACTTATTTCTGAGGGTTTTTCTTTAAAATGTTGATTAAAGGCACAAAAAATGTAAATTTTCAGTTACCGCGGACTCTTAAGTTAAGGAAATAACTAATCTTTTGCGGCCATTTTCTCACTAATTCTACCTCTGAAAACAGGTGACCCCCACCTCTTTCATTCGCAAATATCTCGACTTGTATTCAAGATAAATGGATATTTTTTGCATCCAAATAAAGACAAGTGAACAAGTTTTAAGATTATACCAATAACTCTACATGCCCAAAAATGGACGAGAGCCTGATTCCACCGCGCTGCCTCACATATAGATAGGTGGGGGAAATTGTAAAGTTGTTCAAGTTTGTATAGATGGGTGGAAGTAATTGTATAATTATATAGGAAGATAGGTGGGGGATGTTGTAAGATTGTTCAAGTTTATGTAGATTGGTGAGGGAAATTTTAATAGAAAGTAAAGTTGCATAGGTTTATGTAGGTGGGTGGGAGACATTGTAAAATTGTACCCGTTTCATTTGTAGCATTCTATATCTGTCTTTTTCTGCTTTTTTGAAAGTAAGTGTGTGCCTGTCTGACAGTCGTGCGTGGTATGTGTGTGTCCCCGACAGGCGTCATACGACAGCCAGCTTCCCAGCTCTGTGTGTGTATGTGTGTGTCTAACAGTCATCTCTCATCTGTGTATGTGTATGTGTGTGCGTCTAACAGTCGTGTGTCGTCTGTATGTCCCCAACAGGCGTCATATAGCAGCCGGCTTCCCAGCTCTGGTTGTGTGTGTGTGTGTTTGTATGTGTGTGTGTGTTTGTATGTGTGTGTGTGTTTGTATGTGTGTGTGTGTTTGTATGTGTGTGTGTGTTTGTATGTTGT